GAGTTAGGATGCATGGGTGTATGAGGAAATAAAGTAATAAAAAGCTTTTATTATTCAGAATACTAATTTAAATTTTGTCTCACTTTTCCTGAATGATCAAAGATGATTGAGACCCGTGTTTGGTTTGTCTGAATCACTTACTGGTCCCTAGTTGTTGTCTAACCATGATGTGATAAGAATACGAAAACAGTCTGGATATCTGGCTTCCCATCCCTGGGCACTTCTGGCCTTGTTGTTCATCTTAGAAGTTGTTGTTGAAAATAGTGGCACCACCTATTGGTGGATGTATTCGGTTTGTGTGGCCAGGTTTTGGTCACAGGGGCACTACAGGGGTGGCTTCTGTGAGAAGCTGCTAGAAGCTTCCCTTATGTTCAACAGAGCCAATGCCAGCTGGCTCCAAGATGGACCTGCTGCTGGCCAAGGCTGAGCCCATCAGCAACGGTGGTAGCACCTCTGGGGTAACAGATTTAAGAAGGGGGAAAAAAAACTGTGCAATTTTCAACTTCAGCTGGAGAGAGGAGTGAGAACATGTGAGAGCAACAACCCCGCAGACCCCCAGGTCAGTGCAGAAGGAGGGGAGGAGATGCTCCAGGCACCGGAGCAGAGATTCCCCTGCAGCCTGTGGGGAAGACCACGGTGAGGCAGGCTGTCCCCCTGCAGCCCAGGGAAGACCACGGTGGAGCAGATCTCCACCTGCAGCCTGGGGAGGACCCCATGCCGGAGCAGGGCGATGCCCGAAGGAGGCTGGGACCCTGTGGGAAGCCCGCGCTGGAGCAGGTCTGCTGGCAGGACTTGTGACTCTGCAGGGGACCCACGCTGGAGCAGTTCGTGAAGAACTGCAGCCTGTGGGAAGGACACATGTTGGAGAAGTTCATGGAGGACTGTCTGCTGTGGGAGGGACCCCACGGTGGAGCAGGGGACGAGTGATGAGTCCTGCCCCTGAGACGGAAGGAGCGGCAGAGACAACGTGTGATGAACTGGCTGTAACCCCCATCCCCATTCCCCTGCAGTGCTGTGGGGATGAGGTAGGGAAAACCGGGAGTGGAGTTGAGCCAGGAAGGAGGGAGGGGTGGGGAGAAGGTGTTTTTAAGATCTAGTTTTTATTTTCTCCTTATTCTACTCTCATTTGACTGGTAATAAATGGAACTGATTTCTCCAAGTCAAGTCTGTTTTGCCCGTGACAGCAATTGGTGAGTGATCTCTCCTTGTCCTTATTTTGACCCACGAGCCTTTTGTTATATATTCTCTCCCCTGTCCAGCTTGGGGGGAGTGATAGAGCGGCTTTGGTGGGCACCTGGCATCTAGCCAGGGTCCACCCACCACAGTGGAAAAGGAAAACTATGAATTATGCTTATTTGCATACTAAGAAAGAATAGTAAAATGGAGAAAAGAGTTTGAAATGTATTCCATATTGCAATTTAAGATTATCTTTTTAAACAACTTATTCCCTGTTTGATATGCTTGTGTAGAGCATTTCCATGATTTAAAACAAACAACAAAAAAAACCCCGAACAAACCCCCAAAACCCTTAACCTAGGCTTTTTAAAATAATAGTGCAGAACAGATTTTCCTAGTCATTCTGACTGGCCAGTACTATTGGGTTTGTTGCTGTGTTTCAAAGGAAAAAAAGAAAGTACCCACCCTTACAAAACCAGTTTACAAGAGGTTAAAGGTATTGGGACCTAAATTGCTCCTCAGTTGAAATAACTGGAGCGAAGCTTTTTCTTTCTTTTCTTGTTCCCATTCTTTCGTTTCAACAAATGTTATCTCTGCTCTAAAATGAGCTATTTTACTGTGGCAGCCTCCACAGTGCTTTGAAGACAGTCTACTAATGGCAGCAGTTTAAGTTGCAGTGTCTTCAGCAAGAGGACTTCCATTAGTCTCAAGGGTTTTTTTGGGGGTGCAAGGTGATGAATGGTTTCTGGTAGTTGGCTTTGGATGTGCTAGTCACTAATGTTTACATCAGTAGACAGAATAAAAATGACTTAGTTGCATATTGTGGGGCCTGTGTGATGACAGAGCTGGTCAAATTTTGAATTTGTTTAAAAAACAATTTCTTCTCCTTCTCCCTGTGGCCTTATAAAAACGAAAAAAAACCCCAACAAAAAACGGTGGTGGTTCCCGTTTAGTAGCTCTGCTTTTCTTATCTGGGGGAGATAACTGATAGCTGAAGGGTGTTATTCATTGGGACTGGGTCTGGAAATGCCGTGTTTCGCTGAAGATGTATTGCAGTACTGTCTTCGCTGCTCTCGTGAATAGCTGAACAACTGGAATGGAGCACAGCAACAGCTGTGAAGCCTGAGGAAGGCTTTGTTGCGACATATAGGTGTTCTTACTATAGCTTCTGTTCGTAACCCAGTCCTCTCTCCCACAAGTTGGAGAATATCCTAAAAATGCTGCCTATGGATGTGCCCAGAATGTGTTAGGTGGTTTCCAGTGAATCCTCTGCTGAGGAGCTCCTGTCCTGTGAGCAGATGGTGTAACCCTGCTGGAGAGGAGGCAGAGTGCAGAGGCAGAGCTGTGCGTGCAAGACAAACCAGTTCACTGTGATGCAGCATAGCAGTCATATAGCTCCAAGAGGAAACTAGAGATGTGCAGGGAAGAAACCATCCAGGTGAGCGTGGAGTAAAATCTTGGGGAGGGTTGTGTGGAAAAAGGCTTGCTTCTAAAGTGAGTGTGTGATAGGGTTCAGATGTGATGAATAGTTTTACTGTTATGGTGCAGGTTTTGGACAGAATAATACTTGAGTAAAATGCATAATTGCGGGCCAAAAGTATTTGGCTTGACATTTTTTTGGTGTCGAGCTCAACATGTGAAATGTCCAAATTCATAGCTGTTGATTGAGATGTCAACATTTATAACAACAATAACAGCATTTAAACTGCTGCTGAACACATACTCAGATTGTTCTGCACTTTGAAAGTGTGTTGAGTTGCTTTCAGCTAGAAAAGCAAAAAGTGGAACGTAAAATATTTGAAGCCGAAATAGCTGAAAATGCATATAAAATACTATGGCCCTTTTTTAGCCTTTATTAGCACAGGCAATGGAAGGATGGTCAGTGGAAATGCTGATGAGATTAGACTGCTAGCACTGGCAGGGTCACAGCCAAAGAAAAGCAAAGCAAGAGGATAAATCTCATTATGCTTTGCCACTGTGTTATTACAGGTCAGCTCTTTGGCTAACAATAACGTTATGATTTCTCTCTTATTCCTGTATATCCTTTTCCTTAAATAAGCATAAATCAAAACTTCCCTTATACTTCTGGCATTCTCATGTGAAAGCAGGCATGAGGGCTCACAAGTAACGGAGAGCTGATTCTGGGACTGTAATGTGCTTGCTTACTGTCTGTGTGGGTGGCAAAGTGTCTATAAATGTTTTAGCACAGTCTAGATTGCTCTCGGTTTCAGCACAAGATTTACCGCTGATCCGCCAGTCCAGCAATGGCATGGAGGATTTAACATTCAGAAGTGAAAAACGCCTTTGGAAATACTCGCTACTTGGCAATCCAAGGGCAAGCTGCTGCTAAATATGACAAGAGTTGTGAGGTGGACAACTTTAAACAGAGATTGGCAATGCAATTGATGGTTTTTCTCAGTGTTAAAGCTTCGCTGTAGTGAGTGGTGGAAGTTCCTTCTGTTGTGATCAACCACCTTTGTCTTTCAAAGGGTATAATTACGATTTTGTCTTCTCTCAGTGTATTTCAAAGGCTAGTAGACATTTTGTTTGGTTCAGTGTTCTGCAGCTCAACTTCGTGTTTGCCTGTAAAATGCCCTGACGCTTCAGCATTGCAGGCTGCTGCTCTCTCATGCGCTCCAGCAGCGAGGCACAGCTGAGCCAGCCAAGCCTGTGTTACCCTGGTCAGACAACTGCTTTAGTTCGGTGTCCGCAGGTATAGCCCTCCCTGCCTGTGGCGACATCACACGTGAACGTCAGTAGATGTGTGTGTGTATTGTACATGGCGTACGAAATACTGAGAAGTAAAGGTTTTGGGGAAGGGCCATGGCAGTATCCATAACTGGCAAGGGAGCAAAATACGGCTGGCTACTGGGAACGTTGTTGACACCTTTCAGCCTCTGTTGTAGTTGTGTGCTGCACGCAAGTCGTTACAGAAGAAAAAAATCTTTTCTATTTCTAATGTACTAGAGAACTTAAATGGTTCTCATGAGAGCTGTGTGTGTGTGTGCATGCAAGAGGTGGTGAGGTCGTCTCAAGTCTTCCGTGTAGCAAACCCAGACCTTACTCACCATTCTAACTGACCTAAAATAACATTTCTGTAAATAGTGCTATATTTCAATTTTGTTCCATAACTATGTGTGTATGCTGGGACTTGTAGGGTTTCCAGATATCTTCCTTCTCAAATAGTACTGAGCTTTTTCTTCAAGCCTTACAACAGTGAGAAAAACCCAAATATACATTTTGAGCTTTTTGTTTGTAAAAAAAGCCATTTGTGTGACAGGAGTGAACCTTTCCCACCCTGGGTTTCAGGCAGCAGTAGTTTGAACAGGAAGTGCTGTATTTAAGTGGAATATGACTGAAACATTTTCGTGCAAAGTGTATTTTTTTTTCATGTCAGTTTGATGCTGCTCAGGGATCTAGAACAGTGGGTAGAGAGTAAGCAAAAAGCAAAAAAGATAGTGAAAAGCGCAAGCTAAATATACTTAAGGTGCACTTCTCCATGAGTGAAAATGTGTCTGCCTGGATCCACAAATTAATATCAGTGGAGGATTCGGTCAAAACACTTGATTTCTTAAAAAATTTCTAAGGAGTTTGATATCATAAGGAATGATTGCAATGAGAAATGCCATTGCTGTTTGTTAATTACAGGCCTAACTTCTGTTAAGAGTTGATGAGACTTCCCCCCACCACCAAATTTCAACATCATTCAGATCATGGATGCAGTATCTGTTTGATGCCATCGCTCTACCTTTTCCCTGTAAACAACCACTTAACGTGTAATGGCTTGAAAATATTCATGATTTATTTCTTTGTTTTCTTCACAGGCTGGAATGGTGTTGAGATGTGGATACTTCTGGTTTGGCCTGTTTCTTGTGCCCACTGCCTGCCTTGTTAAAGACGTGGCATGGACAGCGTAAGTCCTGAACCAGTCCTCTCGTTGTTATAGGAATTATTCTGTATGCACATGTCGTCCAGTCCAGTATTTTTCTGTAAAGAACTATGAAGCCTTTCAGTGAATGCCAAAGGGTGATATTCGTTTGGAAGGCCTCTGAACAAAGTGAAGCGGGAGTCATTTCTCATCTGCCAATGCAACCAGCAATGTGAGAGAATGAATTATTAGTCCTGAATCTGAAGGAGGCAGCCTTGCCTGAGTAATGGTGTGTCATCTTACGATTATTGGTGTTGTCTACCCTTTAGTTAAGGGTGAATTTAAATCAGACATCAGAGATTTCCTGTTCCTAGAAAGGAGCACATAATTTGTTCAATTTTACTAAGGTTAGGTAAAAAGTAAATATGTGGCGCTCTAATCCATACCCAGTACGCTCCCAGTTCTTTGTCAGCTGCTCTTTAGATTCTCCTTCAACAGTGGGTCTTCCAAGACTTAACTGAGAGAAGAGTAATACTTGCGCTCTGTGGTTGAAGTAAACTCCTAATGATTCCCTTCAGGCCCAGAGAGGGGGAATAACCCTTGTGAAATGCAAGCCTGTGTAATCAATCCCCTTCTCTCAAAACTCTGTGGTTTCAAAGCACTGTGGAAGACAAGCAATTTCAAGAATTTTGATTTAAAGAGAAGCTACTTACCTTCTCTACCATTGCAATTTGAAATGCAGAAGCATTGTTTTCATTTAGAATTTCTCGTGATTTGTTCAGCTTGCTTTTAAGTGTCTTAAGCACCAAAGCTTTCATCCTTTCCCTTCGAAAGCTGTGTTACAACCAAGGTGGTTTTATTACATGAATATATAATAACCTTATGCAAGGAGGACTGAGGGCATTCCAACTCTGGGGCAAAAAGGCAGATCCTAGCTGGAGTGAACAGGGAATATAGGTTAGCTTGTCACTTTTCACAAAGGCTCAAAGTGAAAGCATCGTAACATGTAACGCTTTGCTCCAAGAATGAGCTGTCGGTCAGCCAAGGAAGATTCTTAGAATCATTTAGGTTGGAAAAGACCTTTAAGATCGAGTCCAACTGTAAACCTAACACTGCTGAGTCCACCATCTTCTTTAGAGATATGCAGAAAATACTGAAAAAAGCAGAAAGTTTCCCAAACACAGGCACGTTTCAAACACTGGCTTAAAAGGATAAATCAGCTCATATGCATATATCTGAGAATATTTTTTCTTCCTACGGGATTGATAGCACAGCTAAATTAAACTGGTAGTAGGCAAATCTACCAATCAGTAAGTACTTCTTAAATGCTTTCCTGTTTTCTTCCTCAGCTTAATTTTCACAAGCTACACTGCTAAAATTAAAACTATGTATCATAATGTATAATTTCTGTTCAGGCCAAACTATGATTTAATAGTCTAGCACACTAGAGGGTTTTTTGTTACACTTATTAAATTTCTCCAATTGAAAATTATTTTAGAATTCTAAAGCTTGAGGCCAAAATGTTTAAATTTAGATACTTAGCTGTGTCTATGACCTGCTTTTTAAAGCTCTGGGGGAAAAAAAAAAAAAAAATATCTTTGAATTCATTTAGCATAACAGGCCCTGCTCCTGTGTCAGGCATTATTTAAAATTACCTGCTTAGAAGTCAGTGGGACTACTTTTGTGATTAAAGATAAATAGGAGCTGAACTGTTTGCAGCATCAGGGATCAAATAGGTATTTAGTTGTCCAAGATTACGCTTCAGGTTTTGAAATATTTTCATAATAGTTGAACGTCCCAAAGTTGTTCTCTGTTCTTATCAGTTCTTGGCAAAAATGACTCAAGAATTGTAAAGCAGGCCAGACCAAGGCAGGCTCATCCTCAGCTATTACTCATTTAAAACTCTGTTACTGACACAGCCTGTTCTTTAATATTTCTTAGAGAAATCTCAGCAACATAATCCTTCCAGTGGTTCAGAGCAAGAACGTACAGAGATTGTGAAGCTCTCAAGACAAACGTGTATGATTGATATACTGGCTATTTTCGCAACAGATTTTAAACAGGAGGCTCCTATCAACATTAAGCAAAAAATCTGTTCTCTGAGCAGGGCTGCTTTTTTTTTTTTAAACCCATCACTGAAAAATTAACACCATTAACATTTTAACTAGGATAAATGAAATGACACAGCTATCAGCACTGCCATATGGAAGGAGTAAAGGTCTGTTTCCTTTCCAAGAGGCTTGCCATTCAAAACTTGAGCCCAAGGCCTCTGGAAATCAGCCGGCACATTTCCACAGCAGTGGTTACACCACATTGCTGTCTGTAGTTCAGCAGAATCTGGTTTTGGCCATAAAATTCCAGCAGCTCTGACTTCTCATGGTCATGGAATTTATCCCTTTCAGTTTCTTTTGGACATGAAGCATATGTCTGCTAAAGGAGCATCCATGTGACCCAAAAGGTATATGCCTAATTTCAGTACAAAATAATACCAGAGAACCATAAATACAGTGTACAGTTTTTGTCTAGAAGAAGGTTAAAAGGGATAGGAAAGCGTGTTTCAAACCCAGACAAATCTTTGTTTCTAAACTGCTGTGCTGCATCCGCTATCAAAACTTGTAATGCTGGAAGCAAGAGCTAGTTTTACATGTTCCTGTTGTCACACAGGCTACAATTGTCAACGAACCTCTTATCTTCCATATTCTCTGCAGCTCCAGGCTTTTTTATTTACTTTTTTTTCTTTTTTAAGTGAATCAAGGAAATGTGGAAAACTCTCTTTAAAAAGAGAAGGAAGCTTATTACTAATGCTTGGCTGCAATGCCATATTGTTAACTTTGGTTCACTACCCTGAATTCAGTGGCTTGGTTTGGATTTGGGTTTTGCCTTATGAAAGTTCCAGTTGTGCTGCCATTGAAATGAACGGAGCTTTATAAGGTGAGTGCTTCCTCACAGTTGGCACATGTCAGTTGAATACATGTCACTGGTGCTAGGAAGTCTCGAAATAGCTGAGCCACAAAGCTATGTGGGAATCATAAAAACGCAGAGTGTGTTCCAGCAAAATTAGGCAAAAGGGCAAGAATTTATTAATAATTGGTGTAGTGCTTAGTGTTACAGTGAAAAAATTTCCTGAGCCTTCCAATCATTACCAAAATCTTCATGTACTTTTTTACCGTGGGGAAAGAAGCATGTTGCACTTGCCAGCTCCATAGTGTAAATAAGAGAGAAGGTATAAGGAGCTCTTCCCATCCTTGCACACGCTTGCAGTCCCTGGAGCACAAGACTCCTAAAATGGTGTTGAGGATAATGAACCACAGTAGAGGTGTCATCATGTTTGAGAAACGCTTATGAATGTAACCATGCTTCTCCCTGGCAGATTCTGGCCTCCCGAACCCCCTAAATATCCTCCTAGGGCAGTGAAGTGAAGCTATGCACTTCTCTGGCTTGGAAGGGAAAGGGCCACCCAAAATACAAAGATAACCCTTTGCTGATTCTTGTGGTTCATTATCTTAATATCTGGGTGTGAAGGAAAGGTGAGTGTGTCTTTATGTAATGCATCAAATTTCAGCTGAGCAGTAACATCGACCACAGCATCTCATAATTTATTGAGGACTGGTGGTGCATCTACAGCCACTTGTAAAGTACAAGGTAAAAGCTAAGACTTCTACCTGTATTTTTGTGTATCAAAAGTTAGTAACGTGCCGTTGTGAAAAAGTCATGAAATATCCAGTCCTGTTGCCAGCAGTCCATGGAATATTTGCAGTTCGCTTTGATGGGAGCAAGCCCAGATTCTGAGACAATTGTAATACCATATTTTAGTGTTTGTTTTTGGAGAGACATGTGGATAGGTTAGCTCAGGCCCTTTTATAAATACTTAATTACTGATTTTTCCATGGATGCTCCTGCTTCCAAGTGAAGGAGTGACTCAATGCATACCTATTAACTGCAGGTTTATTGTTGCTTTAGGGATACCCAACCACAGCAGAGCCCATATATTTCATCATTTCACACTGCTTACAGAATACTTCAGTATCCTCAACTTGAGGACAACAGTATTTTTTCCATATTGTGAAATATCAGTGCAATGTCTCCTTGTGCTGTGCTGCACTAATTGGACTCTGTTGCTCAGGCTTCATTCTGTTAAATTTTGAATTCAGTATTCACTCTAAGGGAAAAGAAAAACATCTCTCACCTTTTATGGTGTATGGCAAGATAAACATGGAATCTTGGGAGAGATTGAATAACTTGTAGATTTCTGTGTTCTTGTCTGTGAGAAAACTGGTTATAAAGGATTTTAAGAGTTCTAAACACGCTCAGTCTTCAAGTTTGCAATAGTAAGTGTGGCCTCTTTAAAAGGTAAGAGATGAGTTCAAGGTCAAAATTTCAATGTGTTTACTAAAATTGAAGAGTGTGATAGTGAAGTCAACTGTAAAGATTATAAGAATTAACAGCTCAAAGCTTTCTCATTTTAATCACTATAGTTTCCCTTCCTCAAAGAGGAGACCAGTCTAATCATTAGCCTAACTAGTTATAGGAACTTGAATCTAATTAATTTCCGTGCAGCTGTTGGTAATCTCACATTCTTGAAACATTATGCATTTTAAAAATATCCTTGCTACTTGATTTCTTCCGTCACAGTACGTTGGTGTTCCCTTGCAGATCATACGCCTTTGGTGGTTTGTTTTAATAGGGTGCCCTTCTAAGTACATCCTGATACTCTTTATCTCCAGATTTTGCTATGCTTCATCTTTTGTTGTTCTCTTTTTTTTCCTCTTAAATGCAGATGTGTTTTGAAAAGTAGTTTTCATTTTAGCTTCTCATTTTGAGATACTTGGGGCCTAACTCAGCAACACGAAGACCAGAGGACTTGGATAACCTAGTATTAATATCAGGGCACCGTCATCTAAAATAGTATCAGCAAAGATTTTTGTGGTCTTTGTTTCTTACTGCCCAGGCATCTTCATTATATTTTAATTACATATACTTCAGTTACTATTTTTACGTTAGAGGGGGTTTGACATTGGTTTACAACACTGGTTAAAGATTATAGTATCTGCATGTAAGATTTTTATGAAACTTGTAAAGAAATTTTTGCTGTCTCTAGAGTTGAAGGATATTATTTTAATGCTATGAAGCATAGCGGTGTCTCAGCCGACTTGGCTTCATCTTGTTTTCAGGCTTATTGTGCAGTCACTTGCAAATCAGTATTATCTCATGGGACACTTGTCCTCCTTTAAGTGACGCAAAAGAGGAAGCTGATCAAAACCTGCCTGTTGGAGAAAGATCCCTGCATTTTGTATTATTGCTTTGTACTTCTCAAGACAGAGGGGACTAGATTTTCTCCTTATATCAATGTAATGTAGGTGTAATAGCACTGGAGCGGTAGGTGAAACTTGGGAAAAAAGGCCCAAGTCTCTTCATGGGGGACATTGCTCTCCAAATTTTGGTTGCACGTGTGGTACATGGATTGCTCTTTGAATCCCCAAGCCAAGAAAGTAGGACACAGCCAGTCTTGTTACTGTCACTTTGAAAGCTCAGTGGGGAGAGAATCCAAATCATGTGAGACTGATAAATGAAAATAAAGGGGCTTGAATAGCAATTATTATTGTAGACTCTCCTCAGGTTTTCAGAGCAGTGCCGTGCATAGCTCAAAAGACAGAGTAGAATCAGGTTTTACTGCCATGAATATTCAATGAATCCCAGCTCCTTTGTCTGAATGCCCGGGTCCTGAGCAGTCCCATGGCAGCGGTGTCAGGTCTCCATAGTCCCGTAGCTTTGCTGCTTGGTTAGATTTTGAGTGTTGTGTTGAGGCGGTCAAGCTCTGCTGAATTTGAAGTCCTTCTCATTTCTCATTTCTTATGTAATATTTCCCAGGTATTGTGAACCTGAACTGACATGTATACGCTGTGCCTTGTTTTGCAAATCCTTCAAGGGAAGGCCCTGAGCCTCTTATCGGAGAGGTAAAATTGGGGGTTAGTAGCAAAACAAATGTTCACGTGGCTTCTTTGTTTTGTTTTTCTTTTTATCTTTTCCTTGTGGTACAGGGCCAAGCATACCTACCATAAAACTTTGCTGGAGCAAGTTCAGGAGTTGGAGACGAAGACGAGAGAGCTGGGAAAAGCCATGCTTCGTGATAGTAATGGAAAGAGGTGGGCAAGCCTATGTTAATGTTTAAAACAGACCCTTCTTGTCCTCTCCCCTCCCTGTTTCTCATTCACCATTCAAATCTGATTCCAGACAGGGTAAGAAGGCTTCTCTCCTGTATTATTCATTTATTGTTGTTCCTTTTCATATGTCTGTTGCCCCCCCCCCAAAATCAGCCCTTCCAGTTTAATTTCTCCTGCGTTATTGCTGTGAGGCTGTATTGGCAACTGCTGCTCAGTCTCTTGCCTGGTAACATGTAGTGCTATTATCTGGCCACTGGACCAGACTGGTTTTGAAAGGACTTTGTTGTATGACATCCAGGAAAAAAAAAAAAAGTCAATCTGATAACCATGTCAGGGGAGGGAACTGTCTGCAACTCAGGATATGAAGACTAGCTAAAAGGGGAACTGGCTAATCCAGTGTGCCCTACAACTTTATTCAGTCTCACGTTAAGGGGTTTTTTTTTATGCTTTTGCTTTTTTCCACTGCAGCTTACAGGACCCCGCTTTCAGGGTTCTCAGTTTCTCGTTGTGCCTCTCCCTTATATCCACACCATATGGACTTGAACATATTGCTATTACTGAATCTTTCATTGTAAGGGGAGAGTATGTGTTGTGTGGGAACTTTTGTCTCTTCTGAAAGAAGCTAAAGAAAATCATAGCGAGGCTTTTCCATCCAACAGTTTCATTTACCTTCGCAGAATGTGGTTCTGCATCAGCTGGTCGGAAAAGCTTCCTAAGTTCAAAAAGGTTTTAGAACTAACTCTTCTGTTCCTTACACAATATGGCACCACATGACTTGCTAAGAAACTACATGATCATTAAACTGGATTTTAGCAAACCTTATAAACTAGCAAACTGAGTGGAATGGGGCTTTTAAAAGATTTTGTTCTTCTGGGGCAGGGTCATCCTTTGAGCCTTTGATGTCTATTCTAAGGTAAACTAATTGCCATATTGTAGCTGCTGCTGAGACGAGCGGATAGTAGATTTTTTCAACTCAACTTGTGAGTTAATAAGCACTGTTTTTAGGGAAAATTATCAGGGAGTGAGTTTACCAAGTTTATAGTAAACTGAAAAGCTTTAAAAAATGCTTCTGTGAACTTTAATGTGTTTATAAGATGTCCTTAGTGACCAGAGTTTGCTTCTCAGAGGCCGAGACAAAGTAAACACAGTGTTATTGATTAAGATCACTTCAAAACACTTGGTATGCTCAGTTTTTATTTTGAGTCATTTTTCTGCTGTGACATTTGGATCTTACAAAACACAGTTCATAATTTGTGCTCACTTGCAAAAGTCACGAACTGCACATCAAATCGTTTAAAAAGAAAAAGCAAACTTTGCAGCACTGGTCAACAAAGGCAACCCTCTGTGCCACAATTAAAACCAACAAAGATGCCTGAAATCAGGCATTTAATTAAAAATGGGCCTTGTTTTCAGAGGGCTGAGCAGTCATCTTGAAGTCAGTTGGAGCCAAAGCGCTTGGTACCAAAATCAGGTCAGCTTCCCAGGCAAGAAAGGTGTAACTTGGTGTTGTGAGGTGCTGACTGACAGACTGATTAGATGCCAGGAAAGTGGAATCCAGGCCAGCAGAAAACTGGCTGTGCCTAGGCACGTGGCTCTGCTCGTATGAGCCTCTTGGCTGTTGCTGTCATTCCTATCCACGCATAAGATGTGAAGTTGCATTGGTGTTGGTTTGTAGCATTTGTATTTTCCTGCCAGTATTTAATACCAGTTATTGACAGCTGGAGAGGAGAGTGAGTCAGCTTTTTGCCTGATGAATCCCTGGGTTGCAAAGCGGGTTGACATACTGTTAATAGCGAGAGACACAGCATTTGATCTGTTTATATGTGTGTGTATGTGTCTCCAAGAACTTGATGTTCTCCGTTTACACAACTGTCCTGACTTTCTGTAAATTTAATGGTCGTGTTGTAATTCATTCGTACACTACATGTTTTCATAGCCTTTTATTTTATTGCATTCTCACTGCAAACTCTTTCATCTGCGTTCCTCCTCCATATAGCTTCACTTCATTCTCGAAACGCTTGCATGGAGATGATGTAAGGAATCCCTTCTGGCCCTCCTTCCCATTCTCCCTCCCCCCTTCTTTCCATGCATTTGTTTGTTCTCCTTCCTAATTGCTCCCAGATTTTCTGGGTGGTCCATCTGTGAACTAGATAATGGTAGAGTGCCTCTGCCTGCTAGGAGCTGGTGTGCTGTGCTTGTGATGTGGCCTCCTGAGTGCTCTTCAGAGTTGCTCTGTCTTTTATCTCTTTTTGTTTGTCTCCTGGCTCTTTCACACCTGCTAGAAATCGTGTGCTTGTCCAAAGGGAAGGGTGAGGGTGGGAAAGAAGCAGAGTGGGAACTTTCTGCAGTTACAGCCTCTCTGGTTCATGTTCTTTATTTTTTAAAAATGTCCTTGAAGCCAGTGGAAGTGAGTGCTGAGGCACACGCGTTGCTCTCCCCTCCTGCCCGCAGCCCCATTGCTCTTGGGATATTTCTGGCAATGTGACACTATGCAGGAAGGGAAGGTAACCGGAGTCTCCTCATTTCTAATGGGAAGTGGAGAGTTGCATTAAAACTGCACGGGTCCGTCCATCACCTCCAAGTAACAGTGTTAGCTCTTGGTTGGAAGTGTTCCTGAAAACATATCCATTAGGTGTTGGTTTGTTCAGGCAGCTGTGGAAGATAAGCTGGCTGTCATCAGGGTCTATTTTCCTGGCCCACATAGTGGACGCTATTATTGTTCAGTGTTTTTCACAAACAACAAAAAATCACACCCAATTACCGATAAGAGAAGGATTTAGGGAGCTAATTGCTTTTATCATTGCCTAGACCTTAGACAAAAAATGAGGTGCAAGATCTGAATGTTTAGGATTAATCTGCTAAACAAAAAGAAATTCACAAAGACCAGAAGGCAGTGAGTGCATCTAGGCTTGCACAACAGGATGCCAACAGTTTGCTGTGGCTCAGCTGAATTTCTGTAAAATGTGAGCAGGGTAGCACCCGGGTCCTCACTGCACTTGGGGAAGGAGTGCTGGGAGATCTGCATGTGCCACTTGATACCTAAATAAGCGTAAGAGGGTCTTCACCCGGCCAACTGTTCTTGCTAGACACATTTTTCCAGGTTAATAAAAAATGTTTTCACTAGTGCTCATTACATCATTCTGAACCTTAGCCCCTTTGAACGGTTTCTAAAATTGAATTTGCTTGTATTGATCTGAAAAAGCAGGTGCAAATTTTTGTCTTACCAACGGCGGGGAGCAAACAGAAAGCCAAGTGGTAGATCAGGGAGTGTCTGGTCTGCACAGGGAAGAGTGTCAGCACCCTGAGCACTACAGCTGGGTCCCCAAAACCTTGCAAATAACGTTAGAGTGATGCTTGGAGATTCTATCAAGTGTATTGTTTTGAGCTGTAAAGGATCATGTTCTCATTTCTCTGTATATCTCATCTAGACAGCTAAAAACTTACTTTTCATGGAAGCTGGGATGATCACAAAATCAGATGATTCCAGGAGCAGGGGATTTCATCACGGGAAACAAGTATCTGGAAAGCTGGCAACTCCAGAAACAGCTTGAAAAAGAGAGGAGGGAGTGTGCAGTAAGGGGCTGGCGATGGATCCCATGCCATGCTCACCTGCCTGCTTGTGGAAGATGAGAACCTGCGCTTGCCCTCCCCAGCCTGGCACCCGGTGGTGCTGGGCTGGACTCCAGCCCAGCTGCAACGTGAGCGAGCCTTGGTGCGGGAAGGGAGAGGGGCTCCCTGGCACTCTCATGTAACAAAAGGCAGGATTTAACACTAAATTTACATGAATTTGGAGAGGTGAGAGGGGCAGCTTGTGTGCCAAAGCAAACATGGACATGTGGAGACACCTGCCCGGCAGACCTAATCATGTTAACATGCAAGATTTACACAAAGAAAACAAACAGTTTTTCTACAGGTTTGTGTTCAAAAGTGGCATTGAGTTCAGCTGCAGAGATTCTTGTGTCTTTAAATAAGTTTACAACTAAGTCTTGGCTCATAAAGGGCCAAATTTTCAAGTCCTCATTCACTTTTCACTCCATCTAACCTCTCACTGAAGTCAGCAGGAGTTCAGGTGGAGTAAAGCCTGATTAGGGACCAAAGCAAACTTTACTTTGGAAACCCATGTCACTTTATTGCTCCACTGGCCAGCTAACGGAGAGCAAGCAAAGCTGTGCAGCACCCTCTTTGCGACAGTAGATTTCCTGTTTCAGAGGGTTTCTCTGTCTTGGAATTGCCAGAGAGCTCCCTTTGAAAGTAGCTTTTTGGTTGTTTTTCTGTTCTGTTTTTAATCAGTTGGAGGCCGGGATTAGAAGATTATTTGATACTGAAGAACAATGTAGCTTTCACGATTTACGTACTTTACAAGGAACTGAAGGGCCTGTCTGGGGTGTTGCAGAAAAGTGCCTGCATCGCTGAAGTATTGGGAAGAATTTCTTCGAATTATTCAGAAATCTGGGAGGCAGTGCCTTGTCTTTAACAAAGGTGAAGGGAAGTGACTACAGAACTAGCGAAGCATAGCTGCGAGTGACGAGGAAGCACTGCATTGTGTTTTTGCGCAGCGTTTTTCAGTATGCCTTTTTACTCTTGCTGCTTTCAGACACCCACTAATGACAGCTAGCCACCTCTTTCTTTCATTTCCATTTCATAAAACAAATACTGTTTTTCAGTGTACCTAAAACAGCAGTTCCCCACAGTGTCTCCACTGTCTGCCTTCAACAAGAAGACGCACTGGTGGAGATTCTCTTTCATTTAAGTGCTTCTCACCAAATCTAACTTTGTTGCTTTAGTGAAATGTGCATGACCAGCTCTCACCCTGAGAGCGAGCTGTCTTATTTATCTTAGCCTTAGTTTTATTTGTTGGGTGAGGGCAGATGCCTATCTCATTTCAATAGCTGTGTGACCGGTGGGTAATCGGTGAGCTGACACAAGTACCCGTGGAGACTTGCCCACTCCACAGGTCCCTGGGGAGGAGCAAGAGAAGAACA